TGACAGTAGGGGACAGCAAAATGCTGCCTCTCCTGTGATAACAGGCCCGTGGCTAGGACATAAAAGACTGGAGGCAACTACTCCAAAATACCGAGCGTTGTCATCTCTGGGTGGTAAAACTAGAACTGATTTTTGTTTTTCTCTTCCACTCTCAAATTATTTTGATCTGTGAGGTTTCTTTCATAATTTAAAAAACCTCTGCACTTGGCTAGGGGTGGACGCCAGGGCCCTACTCATGCTGGGTAAGTGCTCTCCCTCTGAGCTGCACCTCAGCTCTGCACTTTGTTCTTTGAAAAGGTTTCTCCTCCGTGCACAGGAGGTGGCCTCATAGCAGGGACCCATTGTCTACAGAGCAAGGATCCTCACTCTGGGGCACATTCTCTCCTTAGGTCTCACTGGCTGTCTCAGACACCTGAGTGACATCTCTGAGAGGATGTGGCCTCCAGCCTGGACCCTGCTCTGTACTGCCCACCCTGCTTTGGCCACCACCAGCAACCTGAGTGTGGGGTGCTTCCCTCCCAAGGCACAGCGGGTGGAAAGCAGCTACTTCCCTCTCCAAGCACATCCTTCAGTGAGTCCAAACTGTCCTTACTAAACTCAGCTGTGTTCATAACAAAACCAGAGGACAGTCTTTACTTTTAATTTCTTGTAAAACTTGCCGGAAATTAAAAGAGTCAAGAAGGAAATAGAAAAATGCCACTTTAATTAAACTATTCAGTCTGAATTTTTCCCTCTGACACTAACTGAAATTAAAAATAGAAATCAATTTCTGCAACCTTTCAAGGCAGCCTTTGAAATGTCAGGGTTTTAAAAATTATTTTTCAGCAGGGATTTACATATAAATACAATCTGTACCATGTACTAACTGAACAGTCAATGAGCTTCCATCACAGAGGATATCTGATACTGAGACAGGCCAGGCAGGATTCAATCACTGACTCTTTAGCGGGAGACATTTCAGCCTGAAAAAGAAAACAGAAAAGAGAGAGAAGGTAAGTTAGATGCAAACTCAAAGCCAGACAGGACTGGGGCTCTTGCTCAGTGGTAGAGCCCTTGTAGGTTGGATTCCAAGCAATGAAGAGGAAAAAGAAAAAAATCCGAACAGCTCCCTAAAGGCTGAGAACGCCACATCTTGCCCTGGCTCACAGTGGAAAGTCTGTACCTAGAAAATACAAGGGATGACTACACACAAGGAAGTCTGGCTTAATCTGTATCATCAACTGCTCCTTCTCATACCCCCAAATACGCATAGAGACATAACCCTCTCCCTCTTATATTAGAACCCATTTATTAAGCACAACTTCTAATCCCAGTTTCACTTCCTCACCTCACCCATTTATGACCTATGCTTACTCCAGGGCCAAAAGCTCCAGGATTGTTGGGTTTACATCTCAATTTCAGACATATAAGAGTTCACCGCAGCTTTCCTCAGAGTAGAGCCGGTTCATATTGGTCCTATGTCTTTGCTCTGCATAGAAATCCAAACATCCATGATGACAGAATAGCTGGATACACTGTGCTGTGTATCCATTTGAAGAAGAAGATGCCCCCCTACCAGTATAGTTAGTCAGTTTCTGTTAGTTGCCCAGGTAACACCTCCTGTTACAATTCTTGTTACTTCTGTTTCTTAGAAAGGCTGGTCACTGTGATGCATATTATGAGAACCAACTATTGGTTTATTGAAAGGAACAGTTAATGGTAAACTGTTTGATCAATTTTGCATGCCTATATCTGGTAATCTGAACAACTACCTTTAAGATAACAATATGCATTATAACAACTATTGTTAATTTCCTATCATCTTGTTTTGAAATTCTGTATCATTTTTATTATTTTCTCTCTTTTTAAAAATTTTCTTTAAAATTAAAAAAGACCACCAAATATTCTGCTTCTGTACTTCCTGTTTGCTTGTCCCATATAAGTCCCAAACTACCAAGGATCAGGGCCTGACATTTTTTTCTAGAAGTCAGTGCCTGTTGACATAAATGAATCTGTCTCCAAAATGTGGGTGACAGTTTGGTGTTTCTGTTTGTTGGTGCATTGACCAGGAAGACCAACCAAGCTGACCTCTTTGATCACTGGTCATGACCCTCACAGATGGAGCAAGGACCTCTCCAGATCCTAATGGGAAGGTAAGCCCTTGAGATTCCCCAAGTCCCCTTGGAGGTCTGGAGGAAATTCCCAGCTCCCCATTTGAACAGCTCACATGAGACCCAGAAGGGAGGAGGACACAATCTGCCTGCCTGCCAGATTCTGGTAAGATGCCCAGAGGTACCTCAGGGCATCAGTTAGTCTGTCTGTCAGTCCTGCTCAGCTTGAGCAGAAGAAGAGCATGATCAACTCTTGTTAGCCAGGACCACCCTCAAGAGAAGGGGGTTGGAATGTTTAATCTCTGGTCTGCTGAATGATTATGTGTTTGTAATGGACAGCAAAAACAATAGGCCATTGCATTGGTGTTCCAAGGTGAGGAGTTGGACTTCCCTCTCCAAACTATGTAGCTTGACTGGGCCCCAACCTGCAGTTCCATGGATGCATCTAATAAGCACAAAACAGAGAACCTACTGATGCTTCTCCTTAAACTGGACAGTTCTAACATTCCCAAGAGGCAAGCGACCAGGTGGGCACTTGAATGGTCTCTCTCTCTGAGGGGCATCCACCCTTTGTCTGTTGCACCATCATTCAAGGGTACATAGCACATATGTAGGGAGTCAGAAATGGGAACTAATTAGTCAAAACCCACTCCCTGACTGCAGGCCTAAGAATTTTAAAAAGGGTTTTTTTCTGGTGATTACATAGTTAAAATGAAATCAAACTGCTGCTCTATGAGCCTGAACAAGACCTGAGAATTTTACCTTGGAAGATGCCACTATAGCTCTCACCAGGCCAGCTTTCAATCCAGACAGAAGAAACAAAGCAACCCAGTCAAATACTTCTCAAAGGCATCAAAGGAGGGCGGGGGAGCAAAAAGCCCATCCCCCTCCCCCCAAAAAGCCCATCAACATGTTAAAGTTATTACTGTTAACCAGAAGCTTGATAAAGCCTTTCAGATTTTTATGAGAGACTCCATAGGGTCTATGAGAAGCCTACAGGGTCTATATCCCTTTGACTCTAAGGCCCCTGAAAATCCACAGATGATAAGCACAGCCTTCATTGCACAAAAAGCACCTGATATTTGCAAGAAAATCCAGTCTGATAGACAACCATGTCCTCTGGCCAAAGATCAGTATGTGAGTTATAAGGGCCATGGACACCAAAAAAATAAATGCCTATTCAGACTCAAAGATAAGAACTCTCAAAAGCTTCTACCTGGATGAGAAGATAGCTCAGCAGCACAGCACCTACCTGACAAGTGCAAGGTCCTGAGTTCAATTTGACCAAAAAAAAAAAAAAAAAAAAAAGCTTCAACCTGGATCAGATGACAACCTTTTCATTGGTCTGAAAGGCTCAGACTAGGCTAGGTTGGGTTTCTTTCTTCAGCTGGGCCACTGGGAACCCAAAGTCCACATCCATATTGGGGACTAACCTATGACTTGTTGACAATGGTAGACAATGGTAGACAATGAAAAAGAGCTACTTAAAAGTCCCCTCTGTCAGAAAAAGGTTATCATCACGTGGGGCAACTGGGACTCTTGCCTCTCACCCCTTCTGCTAGGCACAAATTTGCAACCTGGGAGGACATCTCACCAAACATGAGTTTATGTATATGCCGGAATGCCTAATACTGCTTCTGGGAAGAGAGTTCTCTTCAAGTTAAAGGCACTGAGCCAGTCAGCCTCCCTCTTGTTTAACTCCACATCAGCCTGAGATAGATAACCACAATCTTGAAACTCTGAAAACTCTCCTCCCAGAGGTATGGGTCAAAGACTTGCCTCTGGGCCTGGCCATTAACTCTCTCCCATATCCTATGTCATGGGAAGCACAAACAGGCATCCAGCCACACATCAGCCACCTAAGGCAGTTTAGGATCCTGATAGACTGTTAATCACCTTGAATTACTCCTCTTCTCTTGGTAAAAATGCCCAGTAGGTATTACTGATCAATGCAAGAACTCTGTGCCATCAACAACACAGCCATTGCCTTATATTCCTTGGTTCCCAACCCATTCGCAAGGGTTTGGGAACTCTCCCACTATTTTCAGAGAAGTTCTGACAACAGATTTGGCCACTCTGAGGCAACCTGTTTCTCTGTTCCTCCTGCTTGCCATTAGAGTTCCCCAAGAAAAGAATGCAACCATACATCCAGAGGTTTCAAAATTGCAAAATGTTTATAGACTGTCAGACTGCTAAAATACAGCTCTGCTGCCTATAAAACCAGTTCAGGATCTCCAAGCTGTCAATGCTACTTCCTTTGCCCTCCATCCTACAGTCACCCACAATCTGCTGGTACACCTGCTGGACCTAAAGAATGCCTTCTGCCTTTGATTGTCTCCTGTTATCCAGCCCCTCTTCACCTTTAAATGGAAAGACCCCAGTTCTGACTCAAAAATCAACTCACCTGGATTCAACCTCTCAGAGGTTCAGAAATTTGCTTACCCTCTTTGGAGAAACCCTCACAACTCTCTCACTTGTTTCCCAGCCCAAAATATCACTACACTTCTGATTAATGACACCCAAGTTGCCTACTAGAAAGACGAAAGTTCTGGTGCAATATCTGGCAGAAACTGGCTACAAGGTATCTCGGGAAAAGCACAAATCTGCAGATAAAAACTAAAAGGCCCTCTCTACAGCCCCAACCTTGGGAATTCCAGATGTAGCTGAAGTTCAACTTGTTTGTTGATAAATGATAACATGTGGCTTCAAAGATGATTACTCAGACTGTCAACCCCTGGGAGTGCTCAGTGGCCTACTTGTGCAAATACTTGGATCAAATCACCAAGGGCTGCCTCCCCCTTTGCCTTTGTGCTCTAATAGCCACTGTCCTTCTGATCAAGAAAACTTACAAGCTCACCTTAAGCCAAGACTTAACTGTACAGGTGCCACATACACACACTCTTGTGCACTCAATCCTGCTGTGTACCTGCCTACCGAGAGGGGCTCACCAGACCATGACTGCCTGGCACTGACTGACCAACTGTTCTCGGGCTGACCGGACTTAAAAACGAATCCCCTGACAGATGCTGAGTTCACCTTGTTTATGGCTGGAAGTAGCTCTGTCAGGAATAGAGTCCAACAGGCTAGATATGCTGTGGTCACCTTGGACAAAGTTATTTTGGCAGAGACTCTCCCACAGGGATGGTCTGCACACCAAACTGAGCTATGGGCCCTCATACAGGCCCTCAGTTGGTCTGAAAATGAAAAAGTCTACTGCTTCCTGCTACTGTTTGGAAACCCACCAAAACAATAAAATATCTTGAACCACAAAGGAAAAAGCCATAACATCGCATTCCTAGCCATCATCTACTCCACTGTCTGTCAATGATGTCAAACCTGTGCTCAAAACAACTGGTCTAGAGGCCTAAGTCCTCTCTGGGAGTCCCACTGACTGAAATATCACCCTTTAAAAACACTGAAATAAAGCCTTATAAGAGCTACAGATACCTATTGGTGCTTTTATGCACCTACTCAGGCTGGCCCAAGACATTCCCTACCCACATTGAGAAGACAACAGATGTTTATAGGGTTCTGCTGTAAAAAAAAATCATCCCTGGATATGGTCTACTCTTGATTATTGATAACAGTAACAGGCCTGCATTTATAGCAGAGATAATGCAAAACTGGCAAAACTATTAAAGATTAAATAAAAACTACACACAGCATATAGGCCACAAAGCTCTAAAATAGTTAAAGAAATAAAAATATAACTCTGCAGAAACAGCTTGTAACCAGCTCCATAAAAGCTTAGCTGAAAGATCAGCTATACTATAGACAATCCTTCACATACATATAACCTAGGTGCATATTAACTACCTCTAGAGCTCTTAAAGTTTCAGAAATCCAGCCTTAGATTTCTTAGATTCTTAAATCCACTATTCCAGAGTTAAAAGGCCCCATCCAGATGATTGCTGGAGAATTTACCTGGACCAGACAGCCCCTCTGAAGCTCACTCTGAAGAGATGACACACTCAAAGCCCTGCTCTGGTCACTCCAGATGCTGACCAGTCCATGCACAGCTGAAGCTTAAGAACACCATTCACAAGATTGCTCTATACTCAATGTATTACTCCCCTTGATTTTTGTGCCTTTTCAGGATTTGATATTGTATTGTTTGATCTGAAGTTTTTTACTTAGCTCTATGGACAATTGCTCCTAGAGACTAGAAAACCAGTAAGGCCTTTCCCCTTAGTCTACAATTGACCAAGATTTGATGTGTGTCCAAAGTGCATTGGACATGCTCCAGGGTCAAACTGACTCCCTTGTCACAGTAGTGTTAAGTCATGTCTCTTTCTAAAAGCAACTTAGGGAGAGACCCTATAAATAAGGGAAACAAACCACAAACCTCTGGTGGGAAAACATTCCAATCTTGGGGATGTTGGCTAGGGACCATCCTAGGACCACTGATACCCCTAATGTTACTTCTTCTAGTTGGGTCTTGTATAATTAATCGGCTTACCTGGTTTATCTCAAATGATCACATACAGGGCCCCGCCCCCTGCCACCACCTTCTGGAAGGGCTTTGGATGTGGGAACCCTCCGTGAGCTGCCTGGGGTTCCAGATCTTCCAGTCCTGCCACCCTTCCCTCCACCTTCTGGAGGGGCCTTGGACGCAGGAAGCCTCAGTGAGCTGCCTGGGGTCCTGGATACTGCCCTCCACTGCCATCTCAGGAATGAACCTGAATCCCTAGAAACCTAGGGTGATTTGAAAATGACAAAAAGAAGAAACAAAATGCAATCTCAGCCAAACACCCCACCCAGAACAAGTCCAGGAAACATCAACATGGAAGAACACAAAAGTCACACACCTGAAATCTCTGAAATGATAGCAACTGAAGTAAAGAACCAACTATATTAGGCTATAGAGGAAATCAGATCAGAAGCAATTGCCCAGGTAAAAAAAGAAATGACAACCATAGTGAAAGAATTGCTGGGCATCAAAAGAAGACATAGATAAAAAATAGAGGAGCACAGAAAAATGATGGAAACCCTGAATGAACAGTATAGGAAAGAATTAGAATGCATCAAATAATCACATATAACATACCTAGCAAAGATTTGCCAAGAAACTAACAGAGGGGAGAAATGTAGAAGAAAATGCAGCCCCCCAGCCAATATCCTTCAATTTGTTAGTTGCCTAGGTAACAGTTCCTGTTATAGTTCCTGTTACTTCTGTTTATTAGAAATGGAGGGCCACTATGATGCATAGCTGGTCACTATGATGCATACTGTAAGAACCAATCAAAGATCACCAAATACCCTGCTTCTGTATTTCCTGCTTTCTTATCCCATATATGTCCCAAATTACCAAGGATCAGGGCCTGACATTTTTTTTTCTAGAGGTCAGTGCCTGTTGACATAAATAAATCTGCCTCTAAATCCTGGGTGATGTTTTGGAGTTTCTGTTTGCCATTGCATATTCACATAAAGGAATACTCTAAAGCTCTGAGAATGACCCAGCTATGGGAATCTCCTAAACTGTGTGTGAAAGAGACCATATAATAAAATTCCTTTAAATCAAGTTTAAAACTGCCAAGAGTAATTAGTGGTGATAGAAGCCAGAGGAATGCTAACTTTGGGGAGGAGGGAAAGGATGGTAAGTAGGAGGAGAGAGGAGGGGCTTCCTCCTTGATCTGTGTGCCTTCCCCTTAAGTGTACTCAGGTAGCAGAAATGTATGGAGCCCTGAACTTTTGCTATTTGCACATTCACATATATGTGTGCAATAAAAAGTTGACTTAACCATGTGATTCCATTTCTATGGCATCCCAGAACATGTAAAACTAGCTTATAGTAAGTGACAGGAAACAGATCAGAGTCTCCTGGGGGGAGTGGGGGCAGATTGTAACTGCAACCAGAACCAGGCTACACTGCCACTGAAGAAAAGTATCAGGGGCCCTTGCCAAGAGCAAGACCTCATGCCAGTGTTGGAGATGCAGGCACTCATAGATGTAACCCCCAAAAGTGTCGCATGCAGGAGACACATGCAGATAGTCAAGGCACAGAGAGTAGAGGGGGTGCTCTTTCCCATACCCTGGGTTCCTGAGAGGCTTGAGGGTAAGAGGCCATGAGAATTGTACCTCTAGCAACCAAAGAGTGATATTTCTTTTCACCTCTGACCCTCTCTTCCACCTCTCCCAACCTTTCCTCAGAGATAAGTGCTGTTGAATGTATGGTGAGAATCCCCCCAGGTTTCTTCCTGTGCAAAAAGGTGCATGCTATGTATGGCCTGAATAAGCTTTCCCAAAGGCTCACGTGTTAAAGGCTTGGTCTCCCAGCATGTGGTATTGGAGGCAATAGAACTATTAAGAGGTGGGACCTAGTGGTAGGTCTTTAAGTCACAGAGGATATGCCCTTGAAGGGGATAAAAGGACCCAGCCTCTTCCTCTTGCCCCTATTTGCTGGCCATGAGGTAAATAATTTTGTTCTAGCTTATGCTCCTGCCATAATGTGCTGCCTCACCATAGGCCTAAGAGAACACAGCCAGCTGACCATGGACTGGCTGCTCTAAAACTGTAAGCCAAAATAAGCTTTCTCTCTTTATAAATTGATTATCTCAGATATTTGTTATAATAATAGAAAGCTGACTAATACAACACATATATGTGCATTTAGAGAAATCCATGCTTGTATCCTTTGTATTTTTGGACCAAAAGAATGCATTGTCTGTTCTAAAGAAATGAATGAAAAAGAACAAAAAGTTGGCACTTATCTTTCTAGAAAGCAATACCATAAGGACATAATAATTAAAACAGGGACAGAGAAATACAGAATGGCTAAGAAATAAGAAGGGAGACTCCATATGGGGACAGGGATTTAGAAGGTAATCAAGTTACACTGCCCCTAATAAAACACAGCACTGGTGGGCTGAGGCAGCCAGGGATCACCCCAGTTGTTTCCCTTTTCATCTTGGGACCACAGCTAGGCTGTCCTTCCCAGTCCTGGGGTGGCAGGTGGGTCAAACAGCTGCTGTGGCCCATGAGCTGTGGCTGGAAGTGCCACCTCCAACCTTTAGGGCCACCTACAACCCATCTACTTCCTGTGAAGACCATGTGCTGAAGTAGGAGAATACTGTGGTCCTTGATTATAGCCATGCTTCCTTGTGCTAGGCCACTGCCAGTAGGGACCTCTTTTCTTTT